TATGGAGGAGGGACCCAGAGGATGGGCCTGTGAGGACACAGCAGCTCAGGGCTCCTTTTAAGGAGGAATATGTAAGTGGTGGCTAAGCTTGTTTTCAGGCCTAGGAGTGGGGGCAGGTTCATATTCCCACTGCCTCCAGCTCCTCTTTCTTGGTCTTGTCTTATAGCTTTTTAACCAAATAAGGCCAAGGCCAGAGAGCCCTCTGCAGCAATAAAAGCAGGGGGCCTGACCCGATCTGGGAGCCTGAGTTTCCCTCCTGGGTGGGCTGTGTCACCCTTTCCCACCCTCCTGGCTGGGGAATGAATCTGCAGTTCCCCCTTGAATCTGCTGGAGCTCCTGAGAGAGTGGGCACAGCTGCCTAGACCACCCCTGCCTGCTGCCTTCCCCACCCCAGTCTGGGCCCAGGCTTAGTCTTGTGGACCACCAACCTCATCAGTAGGGCAAGGTGGCAGGAGGAGGGATGGATGGGATCAGAAGATAATGGATAGTCAAATTATGTAATGACAGTAGAATACGGATGCCTCTAGACACATGGCCAAGGGGCTGGCATGAGGCCCTAGAGCAGGGGTCCTCAAACTTTTTAAACAGGGGGCCAGTTCACTGTCCCTCAGACTGTTGGAGGGCTGGACTGCAGGCCCTGGAACAAGTCAGCTGCTAAGCAGGACAGGCAGCTGCAGCAAAAACACCCAGTGGGCCGGATAAATGTCCTAGGCAGGCTGCCTGTGGACCGCCTGCCATAGTTGGAGGACACCTGCCCTAGAGATTCCCTCCTGTGCCAGGTGCAAACCCTTTACCTGCTGTAGTTCCAGGGAGGAGCCACGGTAACTTGGGTAGTGGGGACATTTAGGGACTCAGAGCAGTGGCTATGAACCACACTATAGATATTTCAATATTTTACCAACCCCTATGGCCACACTGATTTCACCACGCCAATCTGTCTCCACCCCTTACTTTGCATCGTAAAAGTAACAACCCCTACCAGGAGCCATTGTTTGCTCTTTCTCCCAGAAAGCACGTTTTAAGGACTGCATTGGAGACTGAGCACTGGGTCAGAGAGAGCCCTGTCACCATCGGCCTTGAGGCAGCCTCTGCTACTCTCTGGCCCTGACCAGGCAGGGAGCCCTTAACAGTTGATGCCCCACCCGGCCTCTCCAGCCACAGTGAACTCCGCTTCTCCCTTCTGGACAGAGCCTGCTTGAGCCACTGTGAGCCCAGGAGAGCAAACCCAGCCTCCAGGAACCAGAAGCCCAGCCCAGGGAGAAGCTGTTGCTAAGCAACTCTGAAGCCCATTCTGAGAGGGTCCATCTGCTCCCTCCCATGTGCCTCGGAGCGATATAAAAGTCCACCAGCATCTCAGTGTGAGCTGACAGGGGCCAGGCAGCACATATTTTTGTCCTAGATGTGTCTAAACATAGAGGCAACAGGCGACAGGCAAGATGCAGTGCGGGGAGGGGGCGTGAGATGTGAGTGCTGAGAAGCTTTCTCAGCCTCCTCCCTTCTCCCCCACACCCCCAAACAGCCAGCACATTGTGGTGCCAGGTAGGGCAACTTAACAGGACTCCAGGGATTTCTGCTGTACTTTCAAGTTGAACAAATTATTTTACAGCCAGCTTTTGATTAGCTGCTCTGTGGACTGGGCCTGATCTTCCCTCCCTGCTTTAATTAGCGCTCTGCCCACTCCTTCCCTAACCCCAGGGCAGCGGGCTGAACCACCCTCTCTGTAAGATCAGCCCTGTTCTTTTTCAGCTTTTATTCTTTTTGACTGCCCTGAAGCATTTGTGGAAGCTAGTCACCTCCTCCTTGAAACTCATCCCTCCCTGGGTTGTGGCTGCCAAACCATCTTGACCCCTGTTGGTCTCTTTTGACGGTCCTCCCGCCTTCTCTTAACTTTGAAAATGTGGACATCCTCCAACTTCCATGTCTCTGTCCTGTTTCCCTTCCCCTCATCCCCTCACTTTGAGGTTTATACATTTCCAGGATGTCCTGTGAAATTTCTTTGCACTGGAGTCCCCAGTCTCTTAATCTGTCTTTATTTCTCCCTTCCCCAATCCTATCTTTCTGACTCTTACAATGCATTTCCCCTCAGAAGCCCTATATGGTATAAGGTCACCCAAAAGGCAGATTGAATGTATAATCAGGGACATCAACAGAGCAGGGAATTCCAGAGAAAAAGAGCAGAGGGGGACTGAAATATTTCACGTGTGGCAGCCTGTCTTTTCTCATGAGAAAAAACAGAAGTTTGTTGAATTCCCTTAAACTTCATTTCTTGGCTAGGTGTGGTGGCTCACCCCTATAATCCTGCATTCCAGGAGGCCAAGGTAGATAGGTTGCTTTAGCTCAGGAGTTAGAAACCAGCTTGAGCAAGAGGAAGCTTGAGCAAGAGGAAGAGCAAGACCCCATTTCTACTAAAAATAGAAAAAATGTCTGGGCATGTGGGTAGCACCTATAGTCCCAGCTACTCAGGAGGCTGAGGCAAGAGGACCACTTCAGCCCAAAAGTTTGAGGTTGCTGTGAGTTATGATGACCACTGCACACTACTCAGGGCAACAGAATGAAACTCTGTCTCAAAAAAACAAAAACAGAAACTTGTTTTATTGTTGAGCAATGTTTCTACATTGAATTATTTATGGGAAACATTATATCTTTTTAATGCTCAGAGCTTCTAATTCTGCCCTAACCTCACCACCACCTCAAACTCAACATTTATTCAAAAAATAATTTTTGAGCAAGGAATATTTAAATAGGAGCTAAATATTTCTCTTTCCAAACTCCCTGCTCCTTGAGACTTCTCTATTTTTGCCAACATTCTAGTGGTTTTCAAGTTCTACAGGCAAGAGAAGTTGGGCATCCTATCTGGTAGGATTCTCCCCAGTCTCCCTCCCATCTGTCCTCTTCCCAGATCCTGATCACCTTGTTTAGTAAAGGTTAACTAGAGCTACCTTCCCATCATAATACAACAGAGAATTAGATAGCCTTAGGATCTCACTGGGGAGGGCCTCTGACCTCTAGTATGCAGTTTCTCAGGTAATAGTGGAATTCTTCTACCAGGTCCCACCCAAGGCTTCCCTGCAGACCATGCTTAGATATCCACACTCTCTTAAGTGAGCTTTTCAAACTGCCAAGTGGCTACCCATGAACAGGTTGTGAAATCGATGTAGATGGAGAACCAGCACTTTTTGAATGGAATGGGATAGAAAGCCTCTCGAAGCTGCTTCCCTCCTACTGCCAGTGCTGTGAGTCTTCTAAAGTGCTTACTGCAGACATGACTGCCATCCCTGACTCACGTAGGTGTCTCTGCTCGGAATGCAGCCCCCTTTGTGTTGGTGACTGTGCACCCCCATTTGATCCAACCAGCACAGAAGAAAACCACCCCTCCTTCCCTGTGGAACATTACACCTACTAACGCAGCCAGGATGCTTGTGACCTTGTCCCACAGCCACTGACTCATGTAGCTGACTCACATCAGGTGGCTGTCTGGGCTCTGCCTCCCCCTCCTTGCACGGCTGGAACTACTAGAACGGTTCTTGGTAATGGCATTCTGTTGGCTTCACTTTCTACTCACTGGTGCTCTAACCCTAACTGTCAAGACAGCGTCAGACTAAGTGGAATCCTCTTCCGTGTAATCCGCATGGCTCTAGGCCTTTAAACCACTCTGACTCATGTCTGCACCAAGTGGTCAGTGGTTAATAAACCTGGCTGAAAATAAGCCCTGGGCACCCCCAGCCCACCTCTCTGTGGCAACCCTGGTCAGTTCTCATTGTTCCTGACCTGACCTCACTCCCCTCTCCATGCCAGGGTCTCCCTGACCTTTGGCCTGAGAGCTCTGGCTCTCCTCTTCCAACCCATGGATCATATGAGCACATACATTTGATGAAGTAGACTGCCTAGTTTGACTCTCAGCACTCCCCAAAGGGCAAGCTTTGTTTTTGCCCTCTGGTTCTTCCCCTGCTGGTCACTCTGGGGATATCTCCAGCCCCGAGACCCTAAGCCCAGTCAGGCCCACTTTGAAGTGGGGGGAGGATACCATTAGCAAGCCCACCCCCGCTTGTCTCTGAGGACCACACATCCCCAGGTCTCGCTGCAGTTCCTCAGTAACTGCTGCACTCCCTAGACCACCCCACTCTCAGATGCTTCTCCAGCTGCCTCCTGCCTGACCAGGGGCAGCCTCTTTGTATCCTCTCCTCATCCTGGCACCTAGAATAGTGCTCAAGTATTTACAGACTGCTCCCAGATGGCCCCCATCTGATGGTGAATGCTCGAGGGACACAGAACATCGACCTGAGACGGGCCTGGTCAGCCACACGTGTGCCACCATGAGCCCTCTCCTGTCTTACACTGCTGTATCCTGTCCAGTGCTCACTGACTGCCCTTGGGCCTGAGTGCTGCTCCATGAAAGAATGGCCCATTTCAGACAGGAATGCTGAGACTCAGAGGAAAGGGTAGACTCGCTGGGGCCTGAGAGCTTTGTGCCTGTGGACTTTGTCCTCCCAATGACTGCTGGCCAACAGGATCTTTGTTGGCCTGACTCCAGCATGAGGAACCAACCCTGACTGGCCCCAGGTCTGCACTCACCACTGGCTCCCTAACCTGGAGCGGGTCCCTTTTACACCGGCGGGCCTCACTTGCTCCTCATCTGTAAAGTGGGGGCATTTGGGAGTTGCAAAGTCAGATGTCTACAGTGCAGGGACATGGGTCTGGCATGAGACAAAAGGAAGTGGTATGGCCAGAACTGGAGAGAACACAGCCCTTCTCAAAGCCTTGGGGGGTCCTCCCCATCTCCATCCCTTCCCTCTCTCCCTCCTCCCCCTTTTTCCCACCACATGGGCCCAAATAAAGTAAAATAAAATAAAACATCTCCTGGCTGGGTTCAGCCTGTGGGTATTTGGTTTTCAACCCCTTGAATTGATCTCTAAAGATCCTTTTTTCTAAAATTCCGTTTTCTCTTCTTAGTCCCATTTTATTTCCAGTTTTTCAGACTGTAGCCTTTCTGCTTCACTGAGCACATTTTGTGAGAGGGTTCCCAGACCTGGATCCACTTCCCGATCTCAGTTTTATTGACATGATCTTGCCTCACAATCATCTTGACATTTCTCGTTAACTTGTTTTCTCCCTGGTTCTCCCTTGTCTACTTCCTTCTTCAATTAACCCGTCACCTGCAACTGGGTGGACATGGATTCCTGACTGGGCTTGTATGGAAACTGATTGTGAAATAGATGAGTAGGGAACAAAAAGGATGTTTCATAAGGGGGAGAAATGGACCAAAATGTAAGAAGTCCTCCTGAAAGGGTTGAGACATGTAGTTCAAAGGAGACAGAAAAAAAATAATAATAATAGATACTCAAATATATTGATAATCATAGATTGCCTGGAAGACAAAAAATGCTGAAATACGAATCCCTTGCCAGAGAAGTCACGAAGGAAAGAAGATCAGTTTGAGGATTAGGGATACGTTCAAAATCGCTAGGATGAAAATGAAAGCACAGAGCCCCCTTTATTGTACATCCCTTGCCAAAGCCATTATGTAAAACCCTCTGGGGGAATGAATGAAATTGTGTTTGTACAGTTCTTTCTATTTCAGTGCAGAAGAATCATGTTAAATAAATCTAGAGGGCAGAATTGTTAGTTCTTACCTTTCCTAAGCCAACTTCAATGCTGTCAGATAACTTTCCCACGTGGCTTCTTTTCTCTTGTAGAATGAGCCCTTCCTGAGAACCCCCCGGAACAGTAACTACACGTACCCCGCCAAGCCAGCCATTGAGGTAACCCCCGACTTACATCTGCCTGCCTCAGACACTAACCATTTCCACCTGCCAGGGACTTGGGGCGTGGTTCAGATTTCAAAGCCTTAGCCGAAGCAGAAATGTACCCTTCTGACACACCAGGGATTGGAATGTACAAAAATGTCTCCGAACCACGAAGCCCCAGAATTGTCCTAACATGTTCTCAGGTTGCTGACCTAACGTCAGCAACCACCCAGAGGAAGTGCCTACGGATCAGCTTTCTTTGACCTTTGCGATTCTTTGCTCACAAATGTGGTTTTGGATTAAATAGCTCAGCCTTTCAGGAAGAGATGAGGGGGAGGCAGTGTTCTGGTGACTTCCTGGAAGGTGGAAGCTGAGTGGAAAGGAACCTCGATTTCAGGGGCTGGGCCGCAAAGGAAGCTGAGACATCTTCATGTGGGCCCACAGTCCTTATTGTTTATTTCTAGTCATTCTACCTCTGAGGACATAGAGCCCTGGTTATAGGGACAGAAATGGCCTGAAAGATCCTGGATTGCCCCAAACCTTGCAGATAGGCCTGGTCTAGGTCAGGTCTGCTGGCCACCAGGACGGGGCTCAACCACCAGTTTTGGTTTCACACCTGTCGTCTGTCCAGTCTTGTGCTAGGGACAGGAGGGGATTCAGAGAAGTGTTAGACGTGGTCCTGACTTGGGGAAGTTAGAGCCTAACGGAGTTCCACAACTACTGAGCAGCTACTGTGTGCAGGAAACTATTCCAGGGAGACAGAGCAGAAAACCAGACAGATGGGCCCCACCCTCGAGGAGTGTACAGTCTACTGAGGGAGGCATCCAAAACACGGTCTAAACAGGATCATTTCAGGTCGTGAGGGCAGCTCTGAGGGGGGCGATGTGAGAAAGGTGCTGGTGCTGGGGGAGAGGTGGCAAACCCAGATGCACAGTCCACAGCGGGCCTCTCCAAGGGAGATTTGAACTGACACGTGCATACTAGAGACACCAGCTGCCTGGAGAACCAGAAACAGCTGGAAGGACCAAGGAGCACAAAGGCTGGGAAGTGGGGCTAAGCTGGGTATGATCTGATGGAGAGAAAGAAGATCAGAGTGGCTGGGGACATGAGAATGAGGTAGAGGGTACTGAGATCAGAGGGGTGCCCAGGGGCCGAGTCACACGGAGCCTGAACCTCTGAGTAACAAGGTTGGACTTCAGGTGGAGAGAGGTGGAAAACCCTTGGAGTGTTTAGGAGAGAATGACATGACCGGGTTTGCTTCTCTGTGAAAGATCACCTGACTGCTATGGGAAAGTCACTTTGGAGACCAGGGGGGTGTAACTGGAGAAAGACCTCTTAGAAGCCTGCTGAAGCCACTAACCTGCATGAAATGACCAGAGAACTGTTAGAGGCCGAGCTCTGGGGTGCAAGTAATGACAGCTTCTTGGCTGGGGTTCTGCCATCTCTAGTCTCTTCTGGAGTCTCTGAGGCTCACATTAGCCCTGTAATCAGTGACCAGATTCCATTATAATCGAAATGTCAGCTGCATCTTGTCACTCAGGAGTTTATATATTTCTCCAACATTTACTTATCGGATGCCTAAATGGAGCAAGCACTGTGCTAAGCACTGGGTAGACAGTGGGAAGGAGAGTGGGTCTGACCTGCCCTTCTGGCTCTTCAGTCTCCTGTGAGGCTAAAGAAGTAACAATAGTCTAGTTTATTCCATTGGAAGAGGTTAAAACCCCAGGCCTAGAAAGACATGTGTTTAAAAGCTTGTTACTTAGAGTGCCACAGAAACAAAATCCTGTCATCGTCAACTCGCGGAAGAGCCTGAAGGACATTATGTTAAGTGAAATAAATCAGGCACAGAAAGACAAGTACTGCATGTTCTCACTCACATGTGGGAGCTAAAAAAGATGGTCTCACAGGAGCAGAGGGTGGAACAGTGGTCACCAGAGGCTGCCAAGGGTTGAAGAGGAAGGATAACCAGAGGTTGTGTAATGGATACAAAATTACAGCTAAACAGGAGGAATGAATTGTAGTGTTCTATAGAATTCACCGTAGGGTGACGATAGTTAAAGGCTAATTAATCATATATTTGCAAATACAGTAGAAGCTCTGTAAGGTGACCACCCATGGGACTGTAACAAACTAGTCAATGTACAGAGGTGGTCAACATAAGGAACTAGGCCTACTATTTAATATGTACATGGGATGCACATCTGGTGTATGAAATTAGGTCAACTTCAAGAGGTGGTCAGTGTAGGGAGGTGGTCAGCTATGGCGGTTTGATGAGGTAGAAGAGCAAATTTTGAATGTTGCCAACACAAAGAAATGATAAATGGTTGCAGTGATATGCTAATTACCCTGATTTGATTATTACACATTGTATGCATGTATCAAAATATGTATACACTATGCCCCATAAATGTATACGTTTATGATCTGTCAATTAAAAAGAATAACAAAAGCAAAAATAATAACAAAGCAGCCACAGACAGGCAACATCAACGTTACTGGGGAACTTGTTAGAAATGTGGAGTCCTGGACACCACCCCAGACCTACTGAATCAGAACTTGCAATTTAGTGAGATCTCAGGGGCTGGGGATGCACTGGGTGTGGGTCTTCCTGTGACAGGGAAGCACACTCCAGTTCCAATCTGTGCCAACTCACCTGCATTCTTGTCTCAGGAAGTATTTCTAATGTGTTGATAACTCTACCACTTCATTTTTTAGAATTGCATTTCCTCCAAGTATGTGTCATCCGCATACAAGCGTGTTCTTGATTTCAGTAAAACTTCCGAACACTTTTACTTCCAAGAGGAAGAAGAAATCCACCAGTGTAATGAATTGAGCAATGCTTTGGAATAAACTCAATCCCATTGGACTAAGCAAATAACATTCGTTTCATTTTTGCCCCTTCATATTCTAACAATACTGGTCTTCATCAGTATCTGACCAAACAGATGAGATGAGCTGTCAAAGCCTTTGGCTCCCAGACACCTGGAGAATCAGTCAACCTGCTGGGGGAGCCCCACTGGGAGCTCTACATTCAGAGCTCCATTGGGACTTGGGAAGAGATTCAATCCTTCCCCCAGCTTTCTGGTGCCAGTCATTTTTGTGCCCCATCTTTCCCACCCCACCCCTTCCCCAGCACCTGGAAAATGTGCTCTGCCTGCCCTACGGAGACAAGGAGCGTTAACGTAAAGTAAATGCTTGTGTTCATCTGTATATAGACAAGGAATCGGTGACTCTTAACTATGCAAAAAAATGTACAGGTTTACAGAAAAGATATTGAGAAACCAGGAGATTTGCAATTGTATACATTTTATGTTATTTTCCAAAAAATATTTTAACTAATTATTGTTTAGGTCCTGGCATTATAATGAGTGTCGATTCGCATAAACACCACCAAAACACACCTGTAATCTCTCGTGTTCAGCATCCAGGTCCTGTTCTGTGGGGGACCACCTGTTGTGTGACTTCCTTGTTTTCTCCCCTGCTCTGGGGCAGCTCCTGGCTCCATTTGAGGTGTAGAGAGGTTGGGATGGGAAAGGCTATGGGGGTGGGCATGTGTTGGGGTACATACATGGATGTATATACTACGTGTTGTGCATAGGGGTAGGTAGACACCCATTTCTCCCCCTCTGACTTCTCTCTTAACCCCCCTACGACTTAACCATTCTTACCCTCCCATGATCCCTTCTGTGATGTATTTCTAGCCTCCACCAAAAATTCTTTAGCTGGTTCTTCTTGGACTAAAAGTCATCTTCCTGTACAATGAATGTTGGTACTCTGTCTTTTCTCTCGCTGATTTAGAACTGGGGCAGTGACTTTCTGTGTATGGAGTTGAATCCTTCCAGCAGTGTTCCAACCTCTGGTGAGTAAAAATATCACCTCCTTCAGTTAAGACCCTTGCTAAGCATCAGGTAGGGTGGGAGACCCCATGAACACACACTGGAGCTCTAAGTGGGCCTTGCTAATTGCCATGTGGTGCAGAGGCTGGGAGGCCGAGGAGAAACTGGCCTGCAGCCATCGTCAAGCTCCCATGTGGTGGGGCGTGGTCCTCTCTACCAAACCCTACTTCTTATCTCTTTACAGTTCCAGTGGTAGCCCCCCACCCTCCCTGCCCAGTGACTATCCTATGCTATATGACCCCACTGTGACTGGGCTCCTTTGAGGAAGGACATTAGCCAGGGCCATAACCATTCAACCATTACCTCGGTGCCTCGGTTGTTCCCCATAAATGGAAGAAGCAAAATTGCTAAAGCCTCAGGCTAGAATCAGAGCAACAGAGACCTGTGGGACTAGGGCCAAGTTATCAACTTGGGGTAAGGTTTATGCTTTAAAAGGTAGACAGTCCCCTGCCTCCATCACAACCATCTCTGCCCTCACCTGTCTCTCCTAGTCCATGAGCTCCGACCTGCAGACATCAAAGTGGTGGCTGCCCTGGGTGACTCCATGACCGTGAGTACTGAGCCTAGCTAGAATCCTCTGTCCCTTGCTGTGGGCTCACATGACTGAGGACCTGTCTGTGTCACCACCCTGACAGGGCACCCTGTATCTCCAGCCTCCCCCCAAAGCCCCATCCCCACTATAGCCAGGCATCCCATCAGTGCCTGAGGGTACTAGCTCAGGTGTGTCTGCCATTGTTAGGGGCTCATCTCCATTTACCCAGACTCAGAGGGTGGTAGATCTTACTGCTATTAACAATACTGAGGGGGGAAAGGATGAGATGCAGCCATGGGCCCCCAGACTTGTCTAGCTAGAAAAACAAGAAAGCTACGTGGAAGGGGAGACCTGATCTTACAGACGGCATACAGGACATTCAAAATAGCTGTTCATTTCCGTAGAAGTGAACACCAGCCCCGCATGTGTGTGAATGTGTTCTCACGTTGGCATGAACATGCAGAAAGTTGTGGAAGGGCACACGCAGGCTGCTAACCCTTCCCTGGCTGTGGTGGTGTGGACATGTGGGGGGTATCTGTGGCAGGGGACAGGCTTCTTAAGGTGGGGTAGATTATTCACATTTTAAAAATCTTTGTATCTTTTCACTGGTTATGGCAAACATATGTTGCTTTTGTAAATTTTAAAAAATAATTTTTTTTAAAGACAGGGTAGTTAGAAAAATCTTTATACAGGAGGTATCTTTGATCCTGATGATGGTCTTAGACAATGAATTTAGAGATTTAGGGGCTGGAAAGGGATGAGGGGGTGCTGGTAACAGGGCACATCAGCCCAAGGCTCTTGTGTTTCAGAAGCAGCGGCTGGTCAGTTTGCTTAGGCCTGAAGGTTGTGGGGACAGGGAAGGAGGGCACAAACAAGGGAGAGGAGAAGAGAAGCCAGGTGATGGTGGGCTTAGAACATTGGTGGAGGGGGTTAGGGTTGACGCTGAAGGAAAGGAGACCCTGAAAGATCAGAGCCAGGGTGGGGCACGAGGAAGGGTGTGCACAGGAGGGAATAGGGACGAGGTGGTGAGGTCAGGCAGGAGGCCAGGGGGTGAAAGTCTCAATTAGGAACAGAGAAAGGGAAGGAAAAGAAAGGGGTGGGAGTTAAGGAGGCTGGGAAGGAGGAATTGACAGGACTGATGATCGAGGACTGGGGAGAAGAAAGTGTCGAGGCAACTCAGAGTTCAGGGTGGCTGGAGAGAAGCTGCTGCTGTTTTTAGAAAATGCAGATCCAGGTCATAGCTGCTACCCCAGGGTCAGAGGGGCTTCTCCCAGTCCCCTTTGCCTGCACCCCAACCCAGCAGACTTGGAACCATTTTTTTGCTTTTCATAGACAGCAAAAGGAGCTCGAGCAGACAACTCCAGTGGCACAATCACATCCTGGAGGGGACTTTCTTGGAGGTGAGGGTGTTCTTGACTCATTGTGTCCTGATGATGTTCTCCTGAAGGGGCACGAGTGGTGTGTTTCCCCTCTCACCCCTGAGACGAGGTGGGTCCCCATAGATAGCCCAGCACTGAGACACAGGGAGACTCTAAGAGGCTTGTATTAGCCCTTAGGGTTGAGGGTGAGGGGAACGATGCCCAGGGGCGAAGTCTCTGGTTCTGACGAATACATGTGACCACCCACCCACGGAGTGGCATATGGGGGGTAGGGGTGTTAACCAATATGCTTTCTCTTCCCCAGCATTGGAGGGGATGAGGTCTTGGAGACACACACCACACTGCCCAGTAAGTAGCAGCGCTGAGAAGTGCCATCACTATGGCCATAACAAGCCCTCCCCAAGGCCAGTGTTCCCCAGAAGAAGGGCAGGAGCAGATTACCTGTAAGGGGGGAACTCAGCCAGCCCTGAGAACCCCCAGAACCCCCTGCCCCACACCACGGCCCAACACAGCCGTCCCTGAGCAACACCTGCCTCCTCTCATCTGTGTGCTCCACCTCTTCCTTCTTTAAAGACATTCTGAAGAAGTTCAACCCTAACCTCCTTGGGTTCTCTACTGGCACCCGGGAGGAGACTACTGGACTAAATGTAGCAGTAGAAGGAGCCAGAGCTCGGTGAGTGGGTGTGCGCACAGGAGGGAGAGTCAGGGCGAGGCTGAGATTGGGTGGGCAACAGGAGGAGAGATGCATGGTGTGGGGGCCCCACCCAGAAGGGATGGTAACAGCACCTCCTGCACAGTGGCCCCGGGCAGAAACTTCCATGCAGATTAGCTCATGCAATCCCAACACCCCTGGACAGGGCACTGTTATAAGGACACTTGTAAAATTTCCAGAACAGCCAAGATTACCTGGAAAGTAGTCAGTGAGCCAGGATCAGACCAAGCCTAAACCCAGCCCCTTCACTCTGCCCTCTCTGGGGCAGGGGCGGCACATCTGCCCCACACCCAGGGCGCTGTCTTTGCTGGCTTTGCTGTCCCTCCCAGCAGCAGAGGCACAAGTTGAACATGAGGGACTCTCAGAACTCAGGGCATGACCTACAGTTGCCTGCCTTTCCTCTTTTCCCCCTTCACTGCGGTCTTTGACACTGACAGAGCCATTCTGCCTAGGGAGTTAGATGTCAGAGCCCCCAGGAAAGCATGGTGGCCATTTGTTTTCACTGGGATTTCTGTTGTTGACAACAACCCAGATAATTAAAGCTGAAGTGCCTGAGCAGGTTCATTGATTTTCTGCATGGAGCGTGCAGGGTGTAGGCTTTGTGGAAGGATCGCTATGCTCCCATCACCAGGGAAACGACAGTGCTTTGACTCAGTCTGTTTACAGGGAACGTTCCTTTCAGAAGCAGCAATGCGGGCCCCGTGCTCAGGCTGAGTCTCTGAGCCACAGGAAGCGATGTCAGTTCCTCAGCGTCATAAGCAGGAAGAACTTATTTTTTCTGCAAAAACTGGGCTTTGTAGTGTCATTATAGCAACGTCTAATTACTGTTGTGATTACTGTTGGCATCACCGTCATCGCCTTATTGTTATTGCCCCGCTCAGGTTTCGTTACCCAGGGGTTGATTCCCCACACTGTTGACGTTCAAGCCCCTTCTCCTTTTCTTGCTTCACTTCCCTTGTCACCTTTTCTATGTTACTGCCGCTCAGTGCCTCCGCCGGAACAGTCAGTGGCAGAGGAAGTAGTTGAGACACGCAGCTTCTTGTGAGCATCTCTGGTGTCCTGTGTTAGGGAAAGTGGAGTAATCCATTGACTTAAGTGAGGTTGGAGAATCGCGCTATGACTTTTCCTTACCTCCATTCTATTGTTCATTAGCATAGAAGAGGATGAGTTCACTAAAGAGAGAGATAAATACTACAGCGGAGCACCTAAGGTCACAAGGTGACCGTCTGTGTCTGCATTCCAGCTCCAAGACATGCTAGCTGAACGACCTTGGGCAAGTTGCTTGGCATCTCTGGGTCTTAGTAAATGAGGATAATATAGTACCTACCTCTCGGGTTGTCATAAAGATTCAATAGTATAGTATGTAAATCCACAAGCACAATACTAGTTTGCCATTATTAGGATATTGAGTCTCAGAGTTTTATTCAACATCTAACTTTCCTTCCTTTAGTCAATAAGAATTCATTCAACATTGACAGAGGACTGAGCCCCGAGGCAGTTACTAAAAGATACAAAAGAATTAAAAGGTGAACTTTGTGCCCACGAAGAGCTTGTAGTCTAAATACAAACTGGGAAATCATTTTTGGAAAATGATGGTGTTGTGCATGGCAACACTGCAGGCTGAGATAATTTGGTACGTAGCGAGTACAGTCAAGAGAATAGAGTGTGAAATGTTAACTGAGCCATCTCCAGACCCAGAAAGGATGCCTGAAGCCAACGGGTCCAACCTCTTCCTTTAAAAGATGGAAAAATTCAGCTATAGCAGGATCCAGGAACTTGTGCAAGCTCACTTAGCCAGGTGGTGGCAGAGCTGAAGGTGGAACGGCTGTTTCCTGGAGCAGAAGGGGAAATAGAGAAGTGGGCACAGAGCTCAGCAAGGAGGCTGATGGGGAGCAGGCCTCGGTCTGGGCCAGAGTGCAGGAGATGGCGGCCAGGGAGAGGGAGGAAGTGGGCATTCCTAACCTCCTCTCCTACCACAAAGGGTTGTTGCTCATGGATCTTAGTCACATCTTAAACCTATTAAAAGATTAGAGGCACTTCTGTGGTCACCCTTAACCGAGGAAGTCTGTCTTTATAGCTTTCTGACGTCCCCATCAGCAATTGCGTATTGATCTTGGATATGTAAATTCTCCTCAGTGAGAAACAAGGGCAGGGAGGGTACCCGTGTGGTTGGCCGAACTGGTTGCTGCTTTCATGGACACTGCTCTTGGTCTATGCCCTTCGCTGACCTAATTTCTCACATGCATATCTTTTTTAAAACATAGTTCTATTGACGTGTAATTGACATGCAATAAACCGCACATATAAAAATATATGATTTGATCAGTGTTGGCATATCTCTATATAGTACCTGTGAAATTATCACCACAATCAAGGTGATAAGCGTGTCCCACAGAAGCTTCCTACGTCCCTTGGTAACCTCTCCTTCCTGCCCCTTCTGTCTCTACCTCAATTCCCCAGGCCAAGACCAATCTGCTTTCTGTCACTATACATTAGATTTGATTTTCTAAAATTTCCTATAAATGAATCACAGAGTATGTACACTTATTTTGTCTGACTTTTTTCACCTATCAAAATTATTTCAAGATTCATTTACATTGCTCAGTATTTCAATAGTTTGTTCCTTTTCGTTGCTGAGTAGTATCCCATCAGCATGCCCATCTCTTATCCAAAACCCCAAATGGCCTCATTGTATTTATGGCAGGGATCTGGGGAATGAAGGGAGAACTGATCCTGTCCATATTGTCCCCCCATCCTATCCTTCTCATGGGGGGAGGGGAGGAGAAAAAGAGATGGAAAATGGTGTAGAAACCCAAGTAACGACAGAGAAGAAGCAAGGGGATTAAAGGAGCAGAGAGTGGGGCTTCAAAGCAAAGGTTAAAGGAATCATTAAGCTAAGCCTGGAAGACAAAGCTGAGGGATTATTTAGAGCAGTGACTTTTTTCAAATATACAAAAGGTTATTTTTAAAACAGGCAATAAGAAACAAACAGGCTCAGCTTACAAAGAAAGAGCTTAAGGAAATAGAAGGGAAAATCCTTGACGGGAAGGTTGGCCAGATCCAACCTGAGCCTGCCAAAGGAGGTGGTGGGGTGCAGATTGTTGGGTAGCAGGCCCTGGATCAATGTGGCTCCCAGGACCACGGCCGCTCTTTGATTATTACTAGGCTGAGATTTCTGGAGAATAGGAAACCTTTCAATATATTCGGAAGGAATAGACCTTGTACCGGATACCGTTATTCTTCCTGAAGCACCTCTCCTTCCTAAGCCAGCCCTACCGTCTCTTTCTCCTGCCTAGGGACATGCCAGCCCAGGCCTGGGACCTGGTGAAGCGAATGAAAAACAGCTCTGTGAGTACAGACCCACTGACCCTGAAGGGTGCTCGTCTCCAGTTAGCTGGGGAGGAGACCACCCAGTGAGAGTCCCTGCCCTGCAGCAGCTCCTGCTCCAGGCTTGCCTTTATGAGGGGCCAGAGGTGCCCCTGAGAAGCAGGCTACCACATCATATGCTCTCCTGGACCCAGGGCTTGAGGACAAGAGGGCAAGGTGGAGCAGGGAGTTGGCCGAGATTATGGCCTTGGCCTCTGGCAGTTTCCTGCTTTACCCAAGAGTTGGCTTCCCAGAGCCCTGTTCTGTAAATGTGAGGTTCTAAAAATAGGCTTCTCGTTCCACTCCAATCCTTCCTCCTTCCCGCTCTGAAGCGTCTCACCAGTTCTGTGTTTGTGCCTTTGGAATTCAGCTCCTGGCAGGACTCCTATTATGGAGGTGGCTGAGTAGACAGCTGGCTCCCAGGGCCTCCCTAGCATCCCCCACCTTCAGTGCTTGCTACAGTTCCCCTTCCCCCCACTAAGACCCTAAGAACTCCTACAGGGGCAGCTTGGGGCTTTGGCTTCTAGCTGCATCTCTGGATCTGGACTCCTTGGAAGGCCTTCAGGTCACACGTTAATCCGCCCAGCCTTTAGTGGGCTCACCGCCGACTGTAGCTTTCTCAGGAGGCTTTCAAAGGGAAAATAGGCTTTCTACCCCCCGTGGGCCGGCATGGGCAAACACATACACACCCCTCAGTTCTGTGGTACTGCTCACCCTGGCACTGAGCCGAGGGCTGGGGAGACCCCACTTGGCATCTTCTGTTTTGATAGAAAGAGGATGAGAGTAACTTGGGGGTCTGTCTAGCTGGCCCAGTGAGCACCTCTACAGTGGCCCCCACTAGGGCCTAAACTCTGGATCTTCTGTCCCCTCAGGAAATCAACCTGGAAAAAGACTGGAAGCTGGTCACACTCTTCATTGGCAGCAACGACCTGTGTCATTACTGCGAGAATCTGGTAGGCCCCCTGACCTGCACCAGTGGGGAGCTGAGGAGTTGCTGGCCTCTGGCATCACCCTTGCCCGAGCCCTGCTCCTCCTTCTCTCACGGTCTCCCAGGAAAGCCCTGGTTCACATCCACTTCCTGGCCCAAGTAGCCTCTGGAAAAGCAGCTTCATTGGTTCCCTGATTCCAGAAGAATGCTCTAGATCAGTGGTTCTCAACCTTCCTAATGCCGTGGCCCTTTAATACAGTTCCTGTGGGTCACAACCCACAGGCTGAGAACCGCTGGTCTAGATGGACCCACTCTGGGCACTAGCCTCTCCATCACCATAACTATTGCTCTGTGCTGCCCAGACGGGGGACCAGCAATTCCCATCCCATGTCTGCCAGGAGTCCCCACCCTGTTCTAGGGGGAGGTGAAACAATGTTGTAAGTGGGATCAGGTAGAACTGAGCCAGTCTGGACAGTGTGGCTTGCTGTCAAGAACATCATGAGTTAACGAACCCCAGCCAGCTAGCCTGGGAACCCAGCCCCATTTGTAACGTCATTTCTATGGGAAAACGTGTCCAGACTTACAAACTTCTGGAAGTGCTAACTTTCGGAATACATGTTGTTCTAAGTTGAGGACATTCTATATTTTATTTGGCCAGAAAAAGGCAGCTGCCCTTCCTCAGAGGTTGCAGTGGAAGGTTTGACAGTCACAGGCGGGTGGGGTGGGAGGACAAGGTCTTTATTGCTGCTTGTGGCTCAGAGAGGCCAGCTACCAAAGGCTCAAGGAGACTCACACACAGGGTGAGCTTTTCCCAGCCTCTTCCCCTTGGCTCTCTCCCTCACTGCCTGACCTCACGGGGATTTAAATATCTCTGTGTCCTGGACTCCAGGGGTCCACGGAAACTAGAAGTGGCCCAGAGCTGTCTGTGGACCTTGGAGTAGGGAAATGTCCTCCCCTCGCTCCAGAGTGCCTATCCTTCATAGGAACCATCAGGTTTATACTCCTGAGAGCATCGTTTTGTGGAAAGGGCCTGGACACCACCACCAGGATTAACTCAGACTAAGTTTCAGGAAAGGAGGGGCAGAACCTCATGGCACCAAAGATCCCCTCTCCTCCTGTTAACTCTTTAGCTTGGACTGTCTTCTTGCTCCTGTCCTCCCTCCCCTGGCTCCCTGGTCCCCACACCCCTCTTGGTAACTGTGGGCAAGAGCTCATTTGTGCCCAGCAGGTTGCTGGACTTGTGTGCACAGCACCTCACCTGGCCTCAGCTCTTTGTCTCGAGAAAAAATGACAAGCTGCTTGAGTGTCCGGTGCTGCTTCCCTGGTGCCACAGCCCAGCCCTCCTGTAGACATGAGCCTCCCATGTTTAGTGTAGGAGCTGCAAGTCACCACCTACCTTTAGAGATCTGTCTCCGATACCTTCTAAGGAGCCCAGAACCATATCCAAAAATACAGAACACCCGGGACATGATGGGGCACCTCTAAATCAGCTTCCAGTTGGGGACGTGGGTCAGAGGAGGAGACCCTTGGGCTGAATCACAAGAAAAAAAATCTCGGCGAATGCAGGAGAGCAAAGAGTTCTGGGCAGTGGAACCAGCATGGGCCAAAGCCCAGAGGAAAGGGAATGTGTGGTCATTAGGGCACTGTAAGTGGCTGGAGAAGGCTGAGGTCAGGGGACAGTAGGGATTGCTGAGAGATGAAGCCAAGACATGTCAGTGCTCTCTTTGGGTTTGAGAGAATATGAAGCCGGGAGGGGTGGAAATTGTTCATGGTGTCTAATAGGGGACAAGGGATGTTTTCTTAAAACTATCTCAGTCAGCTAGCAATGAGGACTGGGCTTCCCAGCCTGGTCAGGACCACCGAAACCCTTCTATGCCCATTGGCCCACTCCACGCCCTCCTGTGCTCTTGTTCTTCCCAGAGTGGAGCCCAAGGCTGAAGACAGCACCCTTTTCTCTTTGTAGGAGACCCAGTCAGGCCAGGAGTATATTCAGCACATCCAGCAGGCACTGGACATCCTCTATGAGGAGGTAGGGAAGAGTGGCTGCTGGGTCCCAGGTCCTGCCAGCAACCTGTCGGCCTGATGCTCATTGGAGTCCCTCCCTGGGTGTCTATGGCAGACTGTGATCAGTGAGATGCGTTCCAAGCAGGGCGCTGCCATGAGTGGGCACCTGGGTGGCATGGAGGGGCAGCTGCTAAGCTCCTCTGCAGAAGAAATCCGGGCCTCATCAGAGACTGGATTATGTGGTAGCAAAGAGCTCACCTCCAGAGCAATGTGACTTCAGAATCTCAGAAGCGGGGACACTAAGGAGACTCAGCAAGATAACAGGAGTCACATCCCCTCAGGGCCCAAGTCTTCATTGGAGAAATTGGGGAGGGGGAGTTGAGCTGCTGATGACCCCACAGTCTATTTCCAGCAACAGCCAGTGCCCTCCCTCCACAACCACCTGGAGCCTAACAAAGGCCTCCCCTCTACTCCTGCAGCTTCCAAGGACTTTCGTCAACGTAGTGGAGGTCATGGAGCTGGCCAGCCTGTATCAGGGCCACGATGGGAAATGTGCCACGCTGGCAGGGCAGTGAGTAGATGGGGCATGGCCCAGGGTGAGGGCAGCTGGGGTAAGGAGGGGTGCAGCAGCTGGACTGGCCTGCCAGGGCTAGGCCATCATCTGGAGTGCCTCCCCATGACAAATGCCTGCTGCGCACAAGTCCCTTCATTTCTCTGGACCTGGTTGCTTTTCTGTTCAGCAGGGGAGACCAAATGATCTTTGAGGCTCCCTAACACTGCCTAGAATTGCAAAGTCCAGCCTTAGCAAGTTGCCTCATGCTCAGAGACTGCTTAGGGCAATGAGCTTTCAAACCAGCTACATCTGGCCACAAATTCTGGCTCTGCCACATGGCTATGGATGAGAACTTGAACAAGCTGCAGAGCTGCTATGGGCCTTACTCCTCATATGTAAAGAGGGATATAGAAGTGAGGCTGAAAGGAGACACACATGGGGCCTGGCCCACGTAGGGCAGGATCTCAGGGAAACAGTTGCTTTCATTCCATCCTTGAAAGCTGGGCTTGGAGGGTTGGCACTGTGGGCAGGGCTGGAATTCATCAAAGCTCTGTGGAGCCCAGGCAGGAAGTTGCCATCTCCTGAGGCCAGAGGTGCTGCCAGAGTTTATGTGACCATTGCCATGAGGCTCCTTTCTGGGGTCAAATGAGTTTGCTGTGAAGGGGTCCAGCTGGCTCCCCTGGAGTCTGCTGACATTGTGTCCCACGTTGTTATGGAGGTTTCAAGCTAGGTGACCCTCCCCAGCTTCCCATACTGGAGCCCTGTAGGAGCGGCCCCAGGAACGGACCAAAACACAGAGCTGTCACGCAGTCTAACCAAACCCCAGTCCCTGCTCCCCTTCTCTAAAGAAACCCTGGGGGCCACAGGCTTGGCAAGGAGCAGACAAGAGGTGGGAAAGGGGCATCCGGAGCATCAGGTGCTGATTCTTCTACGTCTGCTATGACAAGCACCTGCTGGACCTCGTGTCTGAGTTAGGGCTCTGTGACCTGGGTCTGAGAGACAGCCTCCCAGGAGGGCAGGCCGGGCTGCCCCAGGGGCCTCCACCCCAGGTTCCTTGTCTTGCAGGAGCAGCTGCTCTTGCTTTAGATACGCTGAAAACTCTCTGGAGATGCAAGAACTGAAGAGAGTAAACTGGGACTTCCAGGTGAGCCCCGCAGCCCTCCTCTCCCTGCCCCAGCTGAGCCCCACACCTCCCTGAGCAGGGACCTGGAAATTGTGCTCAGCGGGGTTTGGCCGAGCACAGGCTAGTCCCTAAAATGCGGACCAGAGCCCCTGGAATATTATCCAGGTGCATTGAACCCCAAGGCCAGGGAGAGGAGGGAGTGAAAGATCCCAGGCGGAAGCTAGGGGACTCCCTGCCTCCCAGAGCAGACTCCATGTGGCGGGGGCCATCTGCATAGCCAAGTGTCAGAGGCACCACCCGTTTCCTTCCTTTCCCTCCTGTCTGCTCCCCCAACACACCCCTGTTCTCATCTGTCCATCTATGCTCTGGTGTCCCCTCTCTGGACGTACCCTTCCCCCAAGATTTCTGCAAACCAACCCTTCAAGTCTGCTTCAAGCTTCCCTAAATAAACTTCACTTTCTGCTATCTCTTTAAATGAAACTCACTCTGCACTTGATGGACCCTGAAGCCCCATCTGGCCCTTGTTTGTACCTCTTGTCTCATTTTCCCAGATGGGAAAATAAGTATTTTGAGGATAAATATATCTAGTCTGTTCCTTTTATATTCTATGCTTGGGCACTTAATAAATCCAACACAGGGCCCCCAAATGTAGGTACTCATTAGTGGGTGCAGAGTGAGGCATGGGTCATCCTAGCACAGCCCCTTCAGTCACCTGGCCTGGGGAGGGCTGACTCCAGTCCCGGCAGCAGGAATTGACCCTGGCTGTCCAGCCTTGCCAGGGAGGCTGAGCAGTGTCTCTCCCCACCCTCCCCACAGAGATCCGTCTCCAGGTTCTACTGGCACCGTTACATGCAGCGTGAGGACTTTGCAGTTGTGGTGCAGCCTTTCTTCCAGAACACTCTTGTGCCACTGAACGAGGTAAGCTGCAAGCATTTCTGGGAGGCCTCGTCTTGGTGATAGAGGTATTTATTTCCTTCTCTAAGTGGGCTTTTTATTTTTAAATCATTCCCAGAGCTCTTCCAAAGGTTGATGTTTCTGCTTTCACTTTTTTTGGTATGGTTGGAACTTAGACGTACTTGGAAAGAGAAAATCAACAATGACCAGGCTCCCCAGGCATGGCCCTGGCATTTGCTGGATTGGGATAGAACAGAAAGCTTCCTAAAAATATTGTTTTTCAGTTATCAGGGCAGGGGTGCTGAAAGTAAAGGGATGGACTGTGGGTGGCTCTAATTCATGTTTGCTTAAAAAGAAAATTTCAAAAGCTGGGGCTGTTTCCATCTCTGTCTGAGCCAGTTGGCAGCAGAGTGGGAAGGACGAAAGGAGAAATGCCCAGGGGCTGGGGGGTGGGGGGGTGGGCAGGAGGGCAATGGTGGCAGGTGGTGGCACCCTTTCTCAGGATGGTAATCCCATCGGCCTTTGATCACAGAGAGGGGACCCTGACCTCACCTTCTTCTCCGAAGACTGTTTCCACTTCTCAGATCGTGCCCATGCTGAGATGGCCATCGCACTCTGGAACAACATGGTGAGTGACTGAGGGCTTGGTGAACTGTGACTAAGGGGGTGATCCAAGAGTCCCACAATGACAAACCTACTGGCCGACATGGTTCTTTCCTCTC